CCCCAAAACCCCAAAACCCCAAAACCCCAAAATCTCAAGAACAAATTTCGAATAAAATTCCAAACCAACTGAGCTATCTGCCCCTAATCTTCCTCTACAAATCCCAAAACTCCAAAACTTTAGCCTCGTGCTGCCAATCTGCCTATACTCTGCCTAAAGGAAAGGCTGCAGCAAGCCCTTTGTGTAACACAAAGGGCTCAGGTTTAGGATAAAGAGTACTTGACGGGCAATTCTGGGTTTTTGGAGAAGGAATTTTATAAGAAATATGGGAAAAGTAGTAAATAAAAGAAAATAAAGAGGATTGGGGTAGTGGAGAGTTTTAAAGGGGAAGTTAAGGTGAAATGGGAGTTTGGAGGGGTTGTTATGGGTAAAGTTAGATGAGATTTAGGGAGAAGAGAGAGGATGGGGTAATGTAAGTTAGTTTTTTGAGGGGTATGGGCGATGGATTGGAAAATTAAGAGGAACCTTATACTTCAACGATTGTAATGTGATGGGCTATTATGTACTCATATCTAGGTGATAACCAAAGAGAGAGAATCTTGTTATTTATAATCTTTGGTATTATCAGTTTGAGTAAAAAATTCGAGGAACTAACCTTAGTATGATTTTCTTTAGGAAATATCCAAAAGGATACTACTTGATGCAAGAAAATTCTCAGAATCTCCTAAAAGAGTCATATAAATTTACTATTTCACTTATAATTAAGCAAGATAATTTTCTTCATTAGTTTTAAGCATTTGAGAATCTTCAATGCTAAAAGTGTATTGAGTATCAAAGTTATGTGTTTTCTATTTTATGTATTAGGTTAAACAGGATGAGTTTGGAAGACACATATATTTTCAAGCTTGTAGCTTGCCGAAGACTCATCCAAAATAGATTTTCTTCTTTGATACTTTGTACAAAGAACTGTCACTTCTTATTTTTCATGAACTTAATATTTTATCTATACAACAAAATGAGCTGAAATTATCTAGACTTCATCGCCTCATTCTTCATAATTTAGTATTACACCTCATCAGCCTACACTTTCAAACCCAAAGAGTAACAGACCACCTTATCCTTTGAGAAAAAGTAAAAACTACACCCATATAATCCAACCCCTAGTATAAACCATACCTCATCCCAACCAGTCCACTCCAACCCCCATTAACCCACCTCATAGCCTAACTTTCCATCACCCCCAAAAACACCCATCAAACCCCTCTCCCATCCTCCCTCTAAACCCCCTTCCCCCTCACCCACCCTCAACCTCCAGTCCAGCTACCCCTCTCTTCTCACCCTAAGCTTATAAAGAATAAAACGAGTGCTTAAGAAGAGATCTGTAGTAGAGAAATGTTAATAATTGAAGATTTTTAGGAAGTGAGTGGGGATGGGTGGGGGTTAGGGTGGAGAGTTGGGAGGTTGGGTGGTGGGGTTAGGCAAGAGGGGTGGATAGGGGGAAGGAGGAGGGGGTTAGGGGGTTTAGGGGGTGGATGGAGGAAAGTAGGTGTTTTAAGGGGTTAGAGGTTGGTGGAGTAGGGAATTGGGGATGAGAAGGAAGCAAATGAATGAAGAGGAGAGTTGAGGAGGAATTAGATGATGAGGAAGGTGGATTTTGGGCAGTGTGAGGCCGCAGTGATAGAATATGGTTTTTCAGGTAATAGTATTTTATAGATCTTTATTATTATTTTAGATATTTAGAAGAAGTGACCAGCTATCTTAGTTGTTGCAAATCATACAAATTATCTAGAGAAGAGACTAATCCTAAAACACCTAATTGTTCTTCATGATGAGAAGGCAAGTTATTTTATTAGCTTCTTGAAAACTATGCCAAAATATAAAATTTCTTTCATACCTTAAATCAAATCATCATGACAAGATATTTAATAAAAATCAGCAACAAGGCAACCTTTAGCCAATTTTTAACTAATCCATCAAAATCTGGTCTCATGAGCCACAATATTGGTACTTAGAACTCTACCCAAAATTAAAAGTCTAAAATATCCAAAAAGTTCAATTAGAGTATCTTATCTAGGGGTTTTGGGGTTTTGGGGTTTTGGGG